TACCGCAGGGAGCCTAGAGGGTTAATGCAGCCTGTGCTAGCCATCCTAAATCCATCTAATTGGCAGTGCTGTCATTGACACTGGCTGCTCCCTCCTGCTTCCAGGGAAATGGGCAAAAAAAGTCTTTATCACTGTTGGGAAATAGTCTTCCAGAGGGGAATTTCTTCCTAGCCCTGCTAGTTAGAGCCTGGCTGAGGCCCCAAAGCAGGAGGCTTTATATCTCTTCTAATGCTCTTAACTATCATTTGTCTATGTAAATGAAGAGGTGCAGGCTGTAACAGATGGGCTTCAGGAGGAGCAGAGTGAGTGCTTCCCTGCTGCTTGAGATTGCTCTTCAATTGCATTTGTAAAGCAAAAAGAGAGAACGGCATTGTTTTGTGTGTGACAGTCAACTTCCCTCCCCCATTTTCCTGCAGTTGGTTTGAGGGTTTTAATCCCTGCAGTGAAGGAGACAATGCAAGAGTGCTCTGCAAAGCTCACTATCTGCTGAAAGTACTGACTGGTGGACCAGATTTTGGCCTGTGCCTGGGGAAAGCTATACAGAACATGTGTACTTTACTTTTTTTTTCAGGAATACAGGCACAGAGAGCATGTGTCCAGCCAGAAGAGTACCAGCCTTTGGTTTTTTAGAGTTGTAAATGTACACCAAAAAAGTGGTCAGAGCCTTCTGCTCTGTCTTCCTGCAAAAAGAGAGCCTGTCATCTCTCCTTGTAGCAGCACAGTGGGTCGTGAGCAAAGATACATATGTGTAGAGTATGCTCCATCTCTATACATTTGAGGAAGGGCTTAGATTTGTGTGCACTAAAAATTTGGTGGATTAAGGAGACATAGAAATGTGTACTTATGCAGAGCATAGTAAAATTCTCTCTGCCAGAAACGCAGGCAGACAAGTGTTCAGGTCCTAAAGGTTCATCTTTCCTTTTTTCAAGAGACACACAAAGCAACAGAATTAGAGCTAGACATTTGGGGCTGTTTGCAAAAGATTTACCTCCAGACTGTCTGTGTACTTACTGTTGTTTAATGAAGGTTTGTACACTGAGAGCTCAGGTGGACCTAGCATCTCTTCCCCGGATGGGCAGTGATGCTGATGGGTATTTGTCTTTTTTTTTTTTTTTTTTCCTACAGGCAGCAGCAGTCACCAGATGCTTTGGAATCATCACAGTTGGAGGAAGAGGTAGATGAGCTATCCCTTATCGACCACAGTGAAATTATGGCTAGGTTAACGCTGAAGCAAGAGGTAGGTGCATTCAGGGTTTGCTTTTATACTCTGGTTTATGCTGTATTAAAATCTGATTCTCTGTGTGCACAAGCAAGGCATCAGCTTTTATTTGATAGGAAAAACTAGATTGCAGCAGAAGTGATATGCAGCTTTATATGTGCAGGCTGTTGTGAAAGTATGAGATGCTGGTACAGGCAGGGAGCATCAGCAATGAATGAGGCTTTAAAAAGATGTGAGATGTTTCTCTAAAAGCCAGCGCATCTTGTGCCCTTTTCTCAGTCTGTTCCTTCCCACCTCCTCAGCCTACGACAGTATGAAATGAAGCACCTGAGAATTTGAGCACAATAAATCCAGGTGCGGGTTTATGGTGTCGGCCTTTCAGTCTGAAGGCAGGTTTAGCAGATTTCCCAAGCAAGAAGTTATATTACTGATGTGGAAGAGCAGCCAAAGTAACTGTTTCTGTATTTGAGAAATGGCTTTGTTTCTAGCCTTGGGTGCACTCCCAGACAGCTTTGCTCACTAGGCTCTTGAACCAAGCTGTCTTTGACATGCAGCTTGAGGGAATATGCAGGCTTTTGAAGCATTCAGACTGTCAGGGGGCTAGTCTGAAAAACAGAGAGAATGTATCATTTACTGGCGCTTTAGGAGTGTTCTTTGGTCAGCCAAGATGTGCGCTAGAGATTGAGAAGCTATTACTCATTCTTTAAGTAGTATTTCATGAGTCTTGCCAGAGGGTCACCTGAAAAATTCACATCTTAGAAGTAGCTGCTCCATGGCTGTAATCCATGTTTTTTTCAGTGTTTTGCATGTTGAAATGACAAAGACATTGCTAAGGGAAGTTAGACACGATTCCAGTCTCCTCTGCAGGAATATTTCCTTTAAAAAACAATTAAAAATCTGTGATTTCTGAACATTTGGGACTGGCAGATCTGTGTCAGCCCTTAACTTCTTTTTTTCTTTTCTTTACGGTCTACATGAAACAGTATAGAACTACCACTGTGAGCTGTTTCCTGCAGCGTGGGAACCGCTGGCTGAGTGATAGATCAGTTTTGCATATTTTTAGTTGTGAATTGCAGTAGCTAGAAGAAAGACGTTTTTAGAGAGTGGTAAGGCAGGGGTCAAGCAGTTAGCAGGGCTGTTTTCTGCTCCTGGTTATTGGATCGCTTCAGGTGACCTCCAGCCAAATAGTTCCAGATTAGGGAATTAACTTACTAGGTTTTGATGTTCCAGGAACATGCAAGTCGAATGCATGACCTCTCACCCCACAGCCGCTGTGTTACGTGATCCTGCACTTTGAGACAGTTCACACAGTGTTACTGCTCTGTTAATGGTCTTCTGGGAGAATTGGGGAGTCTGGGACATTTCTGTTCATTCTTCTGTGGACAGAAGGTTCAGCTTTCACTGTGCTTCACAGGCTGGCCTTAAAGAGTCAGGGACCCTGAGTGAGAATCAGCCCAGATCCTCATCTGGGACACCAAATGCTTTATTCAAATTCCAGGATTAGCCCAGCACTGAAGACCATGTCCCAGCTTGCGCTGTGAGCAGTTCCAGGAACATTGCGTACTCTGCCAGTTATTGCTGAGCTTGAACCCCAGAGATGGTAAACCAGGCCGAAGGGAACTTGGGCTATGCCTAACGTGTTTCTGTTCTCATTGCAGGGAGATGATGGGCCAGATGTTCGTGGTGGATCCGGAGACATTTTGTTAGTGCATGCAACAGAGACGGACAGGAAAGGTACAGTGGATGCACCAAAGCAGAGCTGGGGAGCGCAGTCTGGTGTGGCCTTTTGCTGCTTGTCTTCTGCATCTCTGCAGTGTGCTTAGTCGTGATGTGGCTGCAGGCAGCTGGACCAGGGTGGAGAGGACTGCATTCGTGATCCTCCGAGTTGGCGGGGGGCGGCGGGGGGGGGAGATTGTGCTTATCTTTGGTGAAATAGAGGTAAGCTGGATAAGCGCCTGTTCACTGCATTTAGCAGCAGGGATGGTATTAACTCTTCATAGCCCTTGCCCAGATCTGGAAGGCAAGGTGCATCAATGGAGTTGGTGACAGTGCTGTGTTGGTGTCTCTGTACCTGCCGAGGCAGGCCACTGCCTTCTGCGAGCGCAAGTGTGACCAGCCTGTTGTGGCACGGATTCTGTTTTCAGAGGTGTTCCTTGCCCTTTGAACGTCAGGGCAGTGGTGATGTAGGAGTTGCTGGAGTGACTGTTGCGTCAAAGTAGGAGAGGAGGGACATTGGTTTGCGTCTAATGCAGTACCTGTGGGCATTGGGCAAGCTGTTCAGGTGCTGGTCTGCTGACACCCCTTATTTTCGACTTACCGTGTCCCTTCCTAGTCCTAGTCTGTACCACTTGCGTGCTGGTAGCCACCCAGACCAGTTCAGAGAGATAATTCACAGTACAAGAAAGCAGACCTGGGGGAGGAAAGGGGAGGTTAGCAACCCTTAGCTCTAGATTTGTTGAAACCCCACTTTATCTCTCCAAACCCAGTCACCACCCACATGAAGCAGCTGCTTTCCAAGACCTGTGGCAAAGACAGCCTTTGCAATGTTTCTGGAGAGTGATTTTGAACCTGCCAAACACATTTGTGCTGATGGCCTTAACTAGAATTGATCTCCTTATCTCCTGGGATGCAAGGCAAAATGTGCTAACCCGCTGAACCACTCAGCGCTCATATTTTAGAGGTTTGATAGTCAAAGGGGAAATATCTTTCATGTGCATTTTTAAATGGCAGGGTTTTTACTGTAACATAAGGTGTTTGCAATTGCTTACCAGCACCGTTCAGCCAGCAAGAAAATCCTTCCTCTGACAGCTATGTTTCCCTGTTTACATCGGGCATCAAATCCAGGCAGAAAGGATCAAAGTGAGGAACATACTGGAGAGGAGGAGGTAATTGATTGCACCAAGGCTAGATACATATATTTAAAAAAAAAAATAGTCTAAATGAAATGATGGAAATAGCCCTTTTAAAAATGCTGAAACTGGAATAGAGAAGCTCTGGTTTACTCCTGCTGTTCTCTGGAACAAGCATCACATTGGAAGAACTTCCCTACTGTTCCTGTTGAAAGGCAGCTCCTTGGTGGTTCATAAATGGGGAGCTCTGAGGGTGCTGCAAGCAGTGAGGTGGAAGCCATGGAGAACCTCTCAAGACTATGAAAAACTAGAGCAGGATTTTAAATGCACAGCGGCGCGGATGGGGAGAGCAGCTGGGTGGAGGGAGCTCTGCACAGCACGTTTCTCAGAATAGTCACAGAGCTTCGTCTCGCAGGCTCTGCCAAACCACTGAGCTGAATGGAGCACGAAGGAATTTGTGCTATGCTAACCCAGTGTTTGGGTGACTGAGAGGGTTAATGAATTAAGCTTACAATGAGAAGAATTCAGGGCTTGTAAATCAATCAGCCAAACGGCACAGAGGGGTATAGTTAAGAGGCTTTCCTTTAAAGATGAATTTCTTGGCAGCTTCAAGTGCCAGAGCAGACCAGCTGTATTACCTCACGTTGCCTTTTGGGCAGATGGGAACCCAGAATAAATGTAACTCCATGCCTTGTGATGCTTCTTGTCCATTTGAGTTTTCTAAAAGAGCTAAATGGAATAAGGGATAAAGAGAGACTTGTGGTCTTTAGGAATAAAATCCGTGGTCAGTTAAGTGCTCACAGCCACGCGCACTTGCCGTGAGTGCAGGATTACAGCTGGACGAGGCCTGGGACTCACCCCTGACACGACCACCCAGCCTCCGGCTTTAGCGCTTATGTCTGATTGTCTTTAACCAAAAGGCAGCATCGCTGTCTGATTTAAGAGCAGGAGGAAGCAGCATCTCCGTGAGGCTCCTGCCGAGAGAAACACTGCAGGCAGAGAGTCACGACTATCACACCGTGCCCTGCTCTTTCCCAGTGGATGGATGGTACAGCACATGGCTGTGGGGTGATCCCTGTCCTGGCTGAAGCAAACTTTATATGTACAGCCTGGCCTCGGCAGGCACAGCAGAAACTTTTTCCCCGTCTGCCCTAACAAGGCCCTGCCAGCGGTTGCAGGGGCAGGGTGCCATCCCACCCCACGTCCTGTGCGCAGTGCTGCGTGTTTTATGCTGGGGCTGACAAGTTTCTGTTTTGACCTCTGCTGTCCACAGTGACCAAGCCTTGCCCAGAACTGCAAATGTACCACAGTCTCGACCTGAAATCTTCTTTCTCATTTGCAGTTCCTGCTTTTTCAAATTCCGTCCTTTGTGCCCATGACGATGGCCAAAGCCTTTGCAATTCTGGGGCCTGTAGTGCCCACTCCTGCAGGTTAATAAAGAGAAGCTGGCTGCGTGCACTGCGTTACCATCTATGTTGTGGCAGGGTCACGGTCGTAGCAGCATCAGTTTTGCGGTGCAATTTACTCTTCTTTTGGATGAAAATAATCTTACATTTACACTGTCCTGGAGCGGATTTCCTGGAACATAGCAAGGGCAGGGGGTCTGCAGCACTGTATCATTGTGTTGAAACACATGTGTCCCTGATCAGGAGGGAAGAGTGACCATGTCTTTCTGCAGGGCTCTGTGCTGCCTAAGCAGTAAAGACAGAGAACACGTCTCACCATCAGGTCTTCTCCTTAAAGTATACCCAAGGTCTAAACCACGTTTTTCCTTGACCCATTACTGAAAGTTCCTGTCCCACAAACAGGTGTTTTTCACCGACCCCTTTGGTGGTTCCCCTAAGCGAAGCAGCAAGGCTGAGTGCTGCAGATGGGAGCCATGCCGGTGGGGACAGGGCAATTTCACTGTTCCTCTTGTGCTGTAGGGTCCATCTGCTGGTAAGAAACAATAGCATAGCATTTCTGTACAGTCCATTCGTGTCAAAATGTGTCCGTGTCCATGTCCTCTTCCTGTGAGACTGGATACAGCCTTACAAGAAGTTTCCTTTTTCTGAAAGCAGGGTTGACTGAGGCTTTCTTGTCTTTCTTTGTAGATCTGGTGCTGTACTGTGAAGCCTTTCTGACTACATATAGGACATTTATTACCCCTGAAGAGCTCATCAAGAAGCTGCAGTACAGATATCCTTTTGCATGAGTGGCATTTCAGCCCCACCAGGAGTCAGAGCCGAGCAGTCATCGTGGAGGGAGTTGACGGCAAGTTGACCAAACGGTCAAAAGTCTGCTGGCAATGTGGTCAGTAATGTGTTTTTCCTGGAGGTGACCCAAGCAGGACTTCCTTCACCTCTCCACACTGCAAATGGGAAATGCTGCTGGGCAGGTCCAGGCAGAGTCGGGTACTGGACCTGAGAGTAGTCTCCTGAGGGCCCTGGCAGGGGAGAAGAGCAGTTCAGATTTTCTGTACATCACTGGGGAACTGATCATTTGTTTGGGACATCTCGTTTGTAGAATGGGGATCACGCTGCCTTCTGCCTTCAGGATAGGCCATGGGGATTGCCGGCTTGGGCAGGTGTCGTTTAATAGTAGAGATGCCTAAACCATCAAGATCTGTTCTCTCTCTCATTACAAGAAATGCAGCACAGAATGTAACGTCCTCTTGACCTCCCAGTTCTGAACTGAGCTCGTAACTGCTAATGAGACGAGGGCCCCTACGTGGCAGGGTGAGCATTAGCATTTCTGGCAGAATATGGAGAAGGCTTCTTGTTGAGCACCCTGCCTGCAGTTCCTTCCCCTCAGCCCTCTTCCCGTGGCTCCATTCACTGTCAGCTGAGCTGGGGCAGTGTCTCAGTTCAGGCAGTGCAAAGGCCTGGTGGGCTTTGGTCCTGTACACGCATGTCAAAGGGAGCCTGACGTCAGCCTGTCCTGCGTCGCAGCTCATCACTGCCATCTGCAGCAGAGCCGCTGCTCCCCTTGCTCCTGCTGGGATCAGCGTGGCCAAGGACACAGAAAATCTCAGTGCAGAGTGGTTGTCAGTGAAAATACCGGCTGGGGCATTTCTGCAGGCGCCTGTCAATACTTGACTTACTGATAACCTTTTTCTCTTTCCATATGTCCACCTGGCAGAAGCTTTTTCAGCCTGTGCTGTCTCCCTCGCCGCCATTCTCCTTGCAGCAAATTGGGCAGTGAGGAAGGTAGAGGTGCCATCTGAGAACTGTTGAGACCAGATGTCACAGACCGATGGGGGAGATCACAGTAGAGGAGTGCTGCTCATTAAATTCCACCTTAGAGAGAACAGTTTCAGGGTACACCTGCTCTTCTAGCATCAGTTCTGCGAGGTGTAAGTACCTCCTCACACCCCTGCTACCTGCAGCTGGTGGCAGCCTAATACCATGTTAATTAGAGCCGTATCGGTGTCCCTTATCTCCTGGAAACTGAACACCAGTTTCAGTCAAGATGGAATAGCACACTATTCTAATCTTCCTCAATGCAACTATTAATTGCACTCATGCTGGGCTGACCACACTAAGTTGATTCTTTAATTTGCAACCAACATATGAGAAGTTTTGCCACTTCCCAGACACGTTTAAGAAGCGAGTCAGTAAGAACACCTTCTTCGTCCTGGTGAGAGTGGTGGATGAGCTGTGGTGAGTTGCCTTCTTTGTTTCGGGATGGGAGATGCAGAGTCAGTAACAATACAGAAATCTGGCAGTTATGAAGATGTGGTTTTTAAACCCCATCTATGATGACAGCTGAAATCCTCTGTCCTGACCAGTGAGACACCCATAGTGCTGAACCCTCTTGTTGGAAGAGCAGGTTCTCGATGTGTCCTAACTGAGTCAGTGATTTTAAAATAACCAGTAAAAGGGGAATCTCTGGGAAAGGAAGAGCTGGGAAGAGGAGGAATTTTAGTCACTTGGTTCTGCTTGTAGGAGAGAGTGACAAGACTCGGTACGGATACAAACTCTGTAGCTCAGTCAGAGTCGCAGCTCTGATGCCTTCCCTGGGTTTTCCATCTTTCTCTCAGCTTAGTGGAGTTGACGGAGGAAATTCTCAAGCTGCTGATGGACCTGGTCTTCCGGCTGGTCTGCAACGGGGAGCTGAGCCTCGCCAGAGTATTACGCAAGAATATCCTTGATAAAGTGGATCAGAAGAAAATGCTGAGCTATGCCAATTCCATCAAACCTCTTGCAGCCCGCGGGGTGGCAGCCAGGTGAGGAAGGATGCACGTAACGATATCCTGGTCCTTTGAGAGACAGGGCATCCCTTTCCTGTGGACTCAAGAGTTTTCTCAGTCCAAAATAGAAGAAAACAGGTCACATTTTCTGAGCCTTTATACTTCATCCTTGTTTCCTACAGGCCAGGGACTCTGCATGATTTCCACAGTCATGAAATAGCTGAGCAGCTGACCCTCCTAGATGCCGAACTCTTCTATAAAATTGAGGTACAGAGATGAGGATGGGGTAAGGGCGGTGGGAGGGATTCGAACACCTAACCCTCTGCAATCTCTGGTGTTCCCTGCCAGCTCCCCAAGCATACCTGTTGGGCTGTAGGAGTCAGCTGAACTTGTGTCAGCAAGTGGCTGTGAACACAGGCTGCGACTGGGAATCTTGAGGCAGAAATCCCATTATAATGTGTAGTATTTTCCCACCCCTCTCCTCTTCTTCCTCGACAGATCCCAGAAGTTTTGCTTTGGGCAAAGGAGCAAAATGAAGAGAAGAGCCCCAACCTGACACAGTTCACAGAGCACTTTAATAACATGTCTTACTGGTAAGGAGCTCAGAACAACCGTGGCACTGAAGTGTGCTTAACCTACAAATATTCAAAAGATTCCTTGCAGAGTTGGGTTCCCTTGGTACAAGTGGGATAGCATATATTTTTGGCCAGGAATTAGATGCAGGGCACTCATTAAAGACCCTGGAGCACACGAGAAAGAAAATCAGGAGGGTTGTGGAGGACACTGTAACCTGGAGGAGTTATTGTCCGGTACCATTGAGGCCTTCAGAGAAACATTCCCCTTGCAAATAAATGCACTCTGTGAAGGGTTATTGTGGTCATGCTTGAAATTATTCTTTGTTGTGAATTAGAGTGCTCCATTTAAGTTGGAGGTACCATGAATTTTTTAGTATTGTTGGCCCATCCTTATCAGTTTTTTAAATTAAACAAGAAGAAATCTGAGATCTGGGTTTATCTTTTTTTTCTGTTTGTTCTTCCAGGGTCCGTTCGATAATTATGCTGCAAGAAAAAGCCCAAGACCGAGAGAGGCTGCTCCTTAAATTTATAAAGATTATGAAGGTATCGGCTTGGTTCTTGCTGTGAATCACACACACTGCTCCATAAAAGAGCAGCGGAGTAGGACCTTCTGGTTAGTAGAGCTGTTTGATGCTAGAAGGCTTTTCAGATCTCTAGAGTAACTGGAATATTCTCCCCCTTCACAGCACTTACGAAAGCTGAATAATTTTAATTCCTATCTGGCCATTCTTTCTGCACTGGATTCTGCACCCATCCGAAGGCTGGAGTGGCAGAAACAAACCTCAGAGGTGAGGAGCAGTGAGGGCTGTCATCTTCAGGGGAAAAAGAGAACTGTGGTTACAGTATGAAACAGCTGGGTGGTTTTAACAGCTCAGCAATGTCCCGGGGTGGAGGGATGGCAGATTGCTCTCCAGTGGGTATAATGCCATGGTGCTGGAAGCCTGCAGCGTGGCTGGGCATTCTGACAGCTGCAGGAGTGACAGTGCAGTCACAGGTGAGAATGGCCTCCTTGGCCTCCTCCTCCTCCTCCCTCCTGCAAATTGAAGGCTTGGTGAGGCTGAGGGCAGCAATGCTCTGTGTATATGCACTCCGAGGTCAGGCTGAGTAAATCAGTTGGAGGTGTTTGCAGGATGGCATTAACTCCCTGGCCTGCATGGCTCTCTGGGGAGAGGTTACAAAGAAAACGGGTTTGCAGCAGTGGCATCACGGTGGGCTTTGTGTTCTGCCAGGGCCTGGCTGAGTACTGCACACTGATTGACAGCTCCTCGTCCTTCCGCGCCTACCGAGCAGCTCTGGCTGATGTGGAGCCTCCCTGCATACCTTACCTGTGAGTTGGTAGTTTCTTTCCTTTGCCATTACTTCTGCCCGTTAAAATGGTTCCTTCAAGGATTTCTCAGCAGCTTCGGCTCAGCTCAGCACTTGCCTTTTGCCCTACATCTAGAATAAGATGGCGATGTGCCACATCAACCCACATGCCCTCTCTGGAGCAATTTGTCCTATAGCAGAGGAAGGCAGGGTGGCAGCTATCTTTTTGTAAAGAAGGCTTTTGTGAATTGACTATGGCAAAGGAAAGATCAAGTGCCCGGATCTTTAGTTGACCCTTTTTAGCAATATTTTCTTTGGGGCCTATGCGTGGAAAGACAGATTTTCCCATGAGGTGCAATGGATCCCACAGCTTCAAGCTGCTGCTTGCTCCTCTGCAGCAACTCTGGTTCTGCTGGCTGCAAGAGCTGTTAAATGAGGAGTCTACCTTGTCAAACGTGCTGCTTCGTCCTGTTTCTAGATGAAAGGTTGAAGCCATTGCCCTCCTTCTGATCTAGATACCAGCTTTGCTCTGGGTTTGCACCGGTAAAACTTCTCCTGGTCTTGCCCTCTTCCACGGAAAGAGTTCTGTAAGAAGAGGTTGCATAGGTACCTGGCATCTCACCTGGCAGGGCACCACAGGAGGACTGTGCAGAGACGTGGCTGAGTAGGGGAGGCAGAGGGGGGAAGGGAGCGCAGACCACCTTGCTAGGGAAACCCTCTTGCATAAAACTGGAAGGAAGGTTTAAGCCCTGGCAGGCACTTCCCATTGCGACCTTCTTCCAGCCTGGTCCTCCTTTCCATGGAGGCTGAAAGAGCAACCTCAGCGTCCTTAGTGGGAACACGAGTGCCTCGACTCCGAGGTCCCTCAGCTGTGTGGGCATGGTGGGCACCTTGCGCCTGAACATCTTTGAATCTTCAGCTGGGGGAACATTTCCTTCTGGTTTAAAGTTGCCGCGCTGACGGTGGCAGCAGCGGGAGGCTGTTGGGTTGCGTCTGGCTGCCGCGTGGCTGGCCATCCTGCCCGTGTGTGACTAACCTCTGTACTTGTTTGCCTACTCCCTGGCCTGCTGCCCCTTTCTCTCTTTCAGAGGCCTGATTCTGCAGGACCTGACCTTTGTTCATCTGGGAAACCCTGATTACATTGACAGCAAAGTGAACTTTTCCAAGCGCTGGCAGCAGTTCAACATCCTGGACAGCATGAGGTGCTTCCAACAAGTGTAAGTGCAGCAACAGGGGGGTCAGAGCTGGCTTCAAGGCACCACGGTGGGGACTGAGGGGGTTGTGGCTGGGGCACGGGAGCCCCTGTGCAAGGGGAAGGGAGTCGAAAGTCCAAGCGTCGTGATGGAGATGTAAGAAGACCTGGAAATGATGGGGCTGTGGTCACAGTCTCCTTCCCTCTCTAGGTTAGATATGGCTAAAAGTTGTGAAGACGTTTTTCCTGTGTGAGTTTTGAGACCCGGTGCAATAAAGTTTTCCCACTACTCTCTTTCAGACAACAGTTTTTCCTCCAGGTTTTGCTGTTGCTGGTTCCTATGTTCCTATGATCACGGAGGGTTTTCTTCAATGCTGTCTTGCAGCAGAGGCAGCAGATCTAACTGCTGATTTCAGTGTGATAGGGTCTTTTTTTTTTTTTCCCAGTTCAGCGATGGGCATGGTGTTTTTTCCCCTTTTTGGTGTCACACTGGTGTCGGGAGTATTGGGCACAGACCACAGTGCTGGGTGTCCTTAGAGCAGGGCAGGGGTGGCTTGGAGTTGGAAGAGGTCCCCAGGTAGCCCCTTGTTTAACTGCAGCCCTCCTCTGTGGTTTTCCAGACATTACGACATCAAAAGAAATGACGACATAGTGTCATTCTTCAATGACTTCAGCGACCACCTGGCTGAGGAGGCCTTGTGGGAACTGTCCCTCAAAATCAAACCTCGGAACATTACGAGGCGGAAAACAGACCGAGAAGAGAAAACCTAGGAGGAGGGGTTGTGCGAGCGAGGAGAATTGCTCCGCAGACGCACCGAGGGCAGCTACGAGACTGGAGTTCAATGTTTGTACCTGTTACTGGATGACGTACCCTCCCTCCCAGCTGGCAGCGATCCCTGGGTGTGTGAACGTCGTCGGGCTCTCGCAGCGGGCGAGAAGCGACCGCGTGCGTCAGCCGTGAAGGGCAGAGATCAGCCAGCGCTCGCTGCACTCGCCCTCCTTCTCCTCCCGTCCCTCTGTGCCATGAATCAGCTTTAAACCCGGGGAGAGAGCTCTGTGGAAGGAGGGCCCCATGCAAGCGTGTTACTGGTTTGCTGGCCGATTGCGTCTGGGAATACCCGGGCTTTTGTTTTCATCCACAAAGGAGGGTCAGCAGGAGCTCAGCACCCACAAACTTGTCTCCGGAGTGGCGTTC